GAGGTCCACAGCTGCCTTGACAAACTATGCGTACTTCACTTATGGAACTGGTTTTTATAATTGGAATTGAAAATATTTCATTTGCATTCATATACCATTTGCTTACTGTTCCCCGACCTGAAAATGTCCCGGCCTTGAGTTAGTTACAGAGAATTCATGTATGATCAGACGTCGAGTCAACAGATGAAGTGGCATGAGAACGAGACTTCCTCATATGAGGCGGCACTCACTGCAGCTGACACGCATTATGAGGCGGCACTCACTGCAGCTGACACGCATTATGAGGCAACACTCACTGCAGCTGACACGCATTATGAGGCAGCACTCACTGCAGCTGACACACATTACGAGGCAGCACCCACTGCAACTGACACGCATTATGAGGTGGCGCTAGCAGCTGACACGCATTATGAGGCAGCACTCACTGCAGCTGACACGCATTATGAGGCAGCAGTCACTGCAGCTGACACGCATTATGAGGCAGCACTCACTGCAGCTGACACACATTACGAGGCAGCACTCACTGCAGCTGACACGCATTATGAGGCAGCACTCACTGCAGCTGACACGCAGTACGAGGCGCTGGAGCGTACATAAATTACAATGAGGTGTACAATAATGCAGGAGCGTACATAAATTACAATGAGGTGTACAATAATGCAGGAGCGTACATAAATTACAATGAGGTGTACAATAGTGCAGGAGCGTACATAAATTACGATGAGGTGTTCAATTGTGCAGGAGCGTACATAAATTACGATGAGGTGTTCAATTGTGCAGGAGCATATATAAATTACAATGAGGTATACAATAGCAAGAGCAAAAAATTAAACTCGTGAAACTGTTATTAGCAAAACGATTTTTCAGTTCCCTGCCCAATGTTTGCATTAATGTAATTTTCTTCAAATGTTTTCTCTAAAGCTAATATGCGCGTTAATTTCGATACTAAAAATACAACTCCGACTTCATTGTTAAGAACTTCAAACTATAACCATTAGTTCAGGTCATACTGAGTTGTATTACGCTACGCTGTATTCCTACCAGAACACTAATCTAATAGAACAGCGAGTGCGTGGTACTATTTTAATGCCTATCTTCTGCCGGCGCCGGCGGTTCCTTATAAACCTTCATTGCGATCGATAAAGAGTTCTCGGTACAGAACATCAGTCATTGAGTGATCACCAAAATGCAGGTGCATTTTTCCATCAGGTTCAATCAGAAGAAAAGATCGAAGGTTCCGAGAAGTTCATAGAAAGAGATTGTAGAATCGCCAGGAGATAGAAGCGGAAAATGCCACAAATGAAAGCCGACAATATAGCATAACATTTATTGAGGAAAAGTGTTAAATTACTGAAGACTAACCCTCGCTTTGAATGTGTTTATCGGAAACAGTTATAAATGAACTCCTTTGCAGTGACAAAAAGAGACTGCAAGTTCAACGAGTTCAACGGCAGAGAAATTAGTTACAATAGAAATGAGTTTTACGATGATAATGAATTCCAGTTACAATAATACTGAATTTTGTGATGATCGCGAATTTACGTATCATGTACTCGATTTTCCAACCTAATCAAAGATAGGGTTACTTACGTTACGTATTTGTGTTCTTGGTATCTGGCTTGGTATCAGTTGCAGTGAAATGTTGGTCTTGACTGATTGCGTCATCGACACAATGCCATAAGTTGGCGGTGAGAAGAAGATAAGAACAGTGCAAGCACTTACATCGAGAAGAATATTCAAGAGTTTGTGCTATTTCCTGCGAACTGCTGCTCATGTCATAGATTTTTCAGTTCAAACATATGCAAAAAATAATGCGACAATCCTAATTTCTACTCAACAAGAAAGAACGTGCATGATTATTGATGGTCGCTAACGTGCTGATGGTCGCTACAGTGTTGATGGTCGCTACCGCTTTGATGGTCGCTACCGTGTTGATGGTCGCTACCGTGTTGATGGTCGCTACCGTGTTGATGGTCGCTACCGTGTTGATGGTCGCTACCGTGCTGATGGTCGCTACCGTGTTGATGGTCGCTACCATGTTGATGGTCGCTACCGTGTTGATGGTCGCTACCGTGTTGATGGTCGCTACCTGTTTATGGTCGCTACCGTGTTGATGATTGCTACCGTGTAGATGGTCGCTACCGTGTTGATGGTCGCTACCGTGTTGATGGTCGCTACCGTGTTGATGATTGCTACCGTGCTGATGGTTGCTACCGTGCTGATGGTCGCTACCGTGCTGCTGGTCGCTACCGTGTAGATGGTCGCTACCGCTTTGATGGTTGCTACCGTGTTGATGGTCGCTACCGCTTTGATGGTCGCTACCGTGTTGATGGTCGCTACCGTGTTGATGATTGCTACCGTGTTGATGGTCGCTATACCGTGTAGATGGTCGCTACCGTATTGATGGTCGCTACCGTGCTGATGGCCGCTACCGCTTTGATGGTCGCTACCGTGTTTATGGTCGCTACCGTGTTGATGATTGCTACCGTGTAGATGGTCGCTACCGTATTGATGGTCGCTACCGTGCTGATGGCCGCTACCGTATTGATGGTCGCTACCGTGTTGATGATCGCTACCGTGTCGATGGTTGCTACCGTGTTGATGGTCGCTATACCGTGTAGATGGTCGCTACCGTGTTGATGGTTGTTGTTGTTGTAATTGCCCATCCTGGTAGTGGCGACTAAGGAAGAGGGTGAAAGGTCAGTTTTTCCGGGCACTCGGCACCATTGGTAGTTCTACGACCATCACTGGCTCGCTTAACCGCCAGAAGCATTTTATTGCATTACACAACACCCTGGACAAGCCAGGTACTCATTTATCAACCAGAGTTGGATGAATGGCTGAGTTGACCATGAGCTGAGCTTCCCGGAAGAACTTGTCCTCAGTGGGACTCGAACCCGGGAGCTGGATGAGAGAGACAGAGTCTCTCACCACTGCACCACAATAGCTCTACCGTGTTGATGGTCGCTACCGTGTTGATGGTCGCTACCGGTCGCAAGTTATTTAGTTTGGTGTTGAAAGAGTGTTGAAAAAGGCTGCTTGGCCCGTGGTCTTTTAGGCTCCTTGGCTTCCCGTTGCAAGTTTAGCTATTTTTTCAGCAAATATGAATGAATTATCATCAGATGTTTTGTGTGTACAATGCTTACAATGCTGGCAATAGGCTATCCAAGTATCAAGGAGATTTATAAATTTTCCTGGGATTTATAGGGCACCGAAATTATCCATTTTTTCAATCAAGTTTGGTATTATTCTACACGGAAATTATTGACAATAAACTATTGAAACATAGTTTTATGGAAACGCCTGCTCAAGTTCGGCAGACACCTCTATTTTCAAACCATTTGCTAGCATTGACATGCCCCAGCAGCGACCTGAAGTTGGATATTTTGCTGTGCGTGAACGGAGAAATTTTCATCACCCCTCCTCAAAGGTTCCCTAATTTAAAAAGTTCTTCACATTTAGAGTTGAAAATTTGCCAAAGTTATTTGAGATATGAATATGATCCAACTTATGTGTATAATTTCGTCGAAATTGGTGATGGCCAAGTGGGGTTGGTGATGGCCTGACATGGAATGACCATACTATATATATATAAGACGGTCCAACTCGTACAGTAGTCAACATTCCTCACGCAGGTCAGGATCGTGGAATTAGCATTCATGAACTTATAGTGATCCATAACTAGGTGTTATTACTTTCAAGGATGGACACCTTTGCCGGAACTTATCAACACATATAAAAAATAGATCTCTTTTATTGTTATTCCCACAATGTTGAAATAGTGCAGGAGCGTACATAAATTACAGTGAGGTGTATAATAGCGCAGGAGCATACATAAATTACAATGAGGTGTACAATAGTGCAGGAGCGTACATAAATTACAATGAGGTGTACAATAGTGCAGGAGCGTACATAAATTACAATGAGGTGTACAATAGTGCAGGAGCGTACATAAATTACAATGAGGTGTACAATAGTGCAGGAGCGTACATAAATTACAATGAGGTGTACAATAGTGCAGGAGCATACATAAATTACAATGAGGTGTACAATAGTGCAGGAGCGTACATAAATTACAATGAGGTGTACAATAGTGCAGGATAAAAAAATTCAACACATGAATATGTTATTAGCAAGGAAAAGTTTCGATACTCATATTAATCCAAATAATACGTTTTTGAAAAGTAGTATATCAAGTTACTTATACTACTTTTTCACGTACCCGCCCGATGTTGGCATTGATTTAATTTTCTTCTATCGTTTCGTCTAAACCTTCTAAGCACGCATTTTCCCAGAACAAAAACTAAGTGCGATACTAAGAACAACTCCGACTTCATTGTTAAGAATTTTAAACTATTGCCATTAGTTGAGGTCATAATGAGTTATAATATGATAGTCCTATATGAACACTTATCACATGGACGGCGAACACCTGATGCTTTTCTCAAGCCTAACTTTTGCCGATGCCGGCGGTTGCAGTAATATATGGTATGGAAATAATATTAAATTATGTATGGAAATAATAATAAAATGGTAAATAAGTTAATTTTGCATGATGCAGAAGCCCTGATAAATTTGGAGTTGTTGGTGTACGATTATCAAGGTCTTTGCTGAGATTTAGTTTCAGAAACAAAATAAAATTCACATGAGCAAAGTGTAAACATAAATAAACCATTACATTGCATGACATGACATGTCATTTGATGACAAATTCTACAGAAATTTCATGTTGTCATGTCCTGGCATAACATAACATAATAAAACATGCGCGGGGCCATATATTATATAGTTTAGTAATGATTTATTTACGTTAATTGTGTGAGATTTACTTGGGAACACGTGCTGATTTTTTCATGCTCATCTTTCTTTGATGTGGTGCCATACCAGACTTGTTAATCAATTTGGATTCTAACAAATAGCAACCCTGCGCACCGATATGATACTGTGAGATATAATGGAATATATAACAGGGCAATCGCCCACATGTGCCGCTACAGGTATTTAAGCAAGTGTCTCGTCCAGCCGCTGCATTAAAAGTCACCAGTCGAGAAGATGGGATCTTTGGTGCGCGTCTTACCCGCCCTCGTGGCAGCGATATCTTGTTTGACGGCGCTGGCCATCGGTGAGGACCTTTGGATGTGCTAGTGAGGGATTAAGTGGCGATTTCAGAAGTATGATGAACCACAAAAATGAATGCCTCTAAAATATATTTTTTACATCATTTGTGTCTCAGAATTAAGAAGTAACTTACAAAATTTACTATTGATAATTCTACTAATAGAATTTACTACTTCACCCCAGACATCCCCGACCTGCGGTACCTCAAAGCCCACAACGACTATGACCCCGACGGCCCCTACCACGAGTTCCTGGACTACTCTCCCGACCTCAGCGTCCAGGGCATGGATAACTCCATTAGACGCGTCTGCTTAGCTGGGCAGTGAGTGAATATTTTTCAACGATGTATTCGAATTTCGGTGATGTATCATGTGCAAATGAAAAACAGTGAAGAAATATTAGGATAACATTGACAGATTTTCATGTAACTATCTTTCCGTAGACTCAAATTTATCATCAGGTTGAGTGTCCCGTTGGTTCTCTAATCTCCAGTGTCACCTCTGAGCTACAGTAACTGCATGCGTGAAACTCATTATGTGATTGTGTAACTACAAATACGATCAGGGGTAATTTTTTACTTCTATTCGTATTAGAATTTGAAAACTTACCCCTTTCTGATTCGTCTGATGTTTTTACTACCTGAAATTATGTGCTATTATATAATTAAAGCTTCTCGCGAGAGATCTTCCTCCTTTTTCGATGCGTTTAAACTTAAACTCTAAATCTGCTGTAACGTCTTTTCAGATGGTTGTTGTACGACGAGCACTACTACAGCGGATTTAAAGCTTTTTTTAGCGATGTCAACCAATGCCACAACCTGTCTTCCAGTTACTCTGTAAGCAAACGGAAAGATTCAAAACTAGAATGCATTTAATAAATGGAATGTTAAAAAACTTTTTGTGTATGTATCACAGTGGATTTATCAACATTTACTATTATTACCTGGCAGATATCTTCTCTGCGGTACGCGGGCAGCCCCTACGGCCTGGACGACGTCTACTACAACCTCTACGAGGGGGACTTATGGACGGGCAATGAATTCAAAGGCAACACAAACACCCCGAACGTCGCCAACTTGGATATGAAAGTGTCCTCCTTGTCCATTAGTGGACAATCACCGTGGACTTTCTTCACGTACGTCTTGTGTAATAAATCAACCCAAAAGTCTGAGGAACGGATATCTGCTTTGGTTTACTTTTGCGTCTTTTATGATATGTCGGAAATTAGTTTACACATCTGCTGATGAGCGACATAATTAAGCAATCAGGTAAAAGAAAAAATTAAATGCTTCCCAGACGAAAGCCCTAGTGCCGTGTGCATAAGATTATTCGAGTGCAGGTCTAATAACTGATAGCAGCCTTGTTTAGGTAACAAAGGCACAAGAATGTTGATGCTACGAGATGGGTCTTTAGAAGTAAGGATCTGTGCCACATATGATGTGAGGATACGTGCCTCGTATAAAGTGAAGAAACGTACCTCGTACAGCGTGGATTCGTGCCTGATGAAGGTTAATGCTGTCATTGGTGCGCAGGGGGCTGCAGTACGCCGGGGAGGCCGTGTGCGTGTACCCTACTTATGTCACCAACAACGGCGGCATTCTTTTGCATCACAATTCAATTCCAACAGTAAGACAACAGAAAACGCGTACGCGTCTTTTCTGTCAGTCCTTGTAAGTGTTTTCCTCCTGTTGCTTGCGAGCGCATCGTGATGGTCATTACAGCGATAAAATAAAAGAATAAATTAAAATAGAATAGAGTAGAATAGAATGTAATAGAATAGAATAGAACAACTGTACCTTTTGCGACGTATTCCTCACTGTATTATAAACTTTTGTGTCGTCAGCATACATCGAGCACACGCTAGACACAGCTTCTGGCAGATCGTTTCTCGTCTGGCCCGCGAGAACGCTTCCTTGTGGCACGCCGCTGCGCATTGAAGCCCAGTCTGATACGGTCACATTAATACTGACACGTTTTCGTCTCCCTACTAGAAGATCTCTGATCCATTTGAGTACATTACTCTCAATTCCCAAAGACTTTAATTTAAGCAATAGGACACTGTCACATTCCTAGTCAAAATTGAGGTACACTGTATCTACTGGCTCCCTTTTGTCCAGCAGGCGAGTCTATCCATTCAGAGTAGACAAGAGGTTAGAGGTGCAGGATCTGCCGGCAAAAAGCCATGTTGAAAGTCTGATAGAAGATTATTAACAGTCAAATGATCGATCCATCTATCACTCACAACATTACCTTGTAAACAACACTAGTCAAACTGACTGGCGATAGGTGCCCGGGCAGATTTTGTCAACTTTATTACAATGGTGTCACTTGAGCTACTGTCCAGTCAGCCCGCTAGATCCCTTCGCTCAAATTTTTACGAAAAAATGACGTCAGAGGGCCGGCTAGGATAGCTGCTAACTCTTTGAGTATTCTGGGGTGGAAGCCGTCCGGTCCAGATGACTTGCTGAGATTTACAGCGAACAGGCATTTGAGAACCTCTTCTTCTTGTATTTCAAAACTTATTAATTTAGAGCCTACTGTGCGCTCCTCAATAGCTTGAATACTGTTCAAGTCCTCTTCAGTGAATACGCTACTGAAAAACTGTTAAGAACATTAGCCCTGCCCTCTGCCCTCGTCAGAGGATATCTTTCGTTGATCTACTTATAAATCAGAAATACCATTCTTTTTCTTGCACTTCGATCTAGCGTAGAAAAAGAAGGCTTTCGGGTTCTTTTTTGCATTTATGACAATATTCTTTTCGAAGGTTTTCAATGCAGTGAGACAGCTTTCTTTAGCTTGATTTCGTGCTCTAGCGAATAGGTTTTAATCAGCATCGCTGCTAGTCTGTAAATAACGCTGACAGGCTTCCTTCTTGGTTTTCAGCTTGCAAAACCATACTTATCATACACTGAGTATTTTTTGGCTCCAACGATCTTAATTTTAGGTACATACGCATCAACTGCAGACATAACCGTGTCCTTTAGAAATGATCATGACTCAGCCACATTCATGTCCTTAATACAGTTCGAAATATTCACTGCATTCACTGTTTCACGGAGTTAATCATTGTCGCCTATCGTAAAATTCACACGCTCACGCTAATAATTGTGTGTGTGCCTAAAAAATTGGCATAACGATGGTAATGCATTAGAAATCACTGCAAAATATTCTAATGCAATCAATTGATAGTGTTCAATTTATGTTGTTTATTTTTATCTGAATACAAAGGTTTGCCGTGAAACTATTCAAAGCACTTAATGGACCATGAATGAGCGCTCTGAATAAAATCCGAGGTAATCAAATTTTTCAATCGTTATCAATGAAGAAAGATTGATGAGAATTATTTTAAGGACTTAGTCGCACAGATGTGGCATTAACAGCGCCATGTTCCGAAATTGTAGGCTAACTGTATGGTAACTTGAGACTGCTGCTCAACTCACTGCGTCAAGTTAACCTGGCCTCGTAAAGCACTGCTGGTTACCATGTCGCAATGACGGGATATATGGGCGAGCTGAGAAACATAACTAGAGAACATCTACGAAGTGCTCCTAACCTAATTTATAGCGCAGCCAAAGCTGCTAAACTTGTGTTTTTTTAACTCTAATCGTACTCAATGCATGCACGTCATTGTTCAACCCTGCATTTTTTCCTTTCCCAAGATAACAAACTTGGGCTTGTCGGACAACTCGATCAGGTCGGTGGCCAAAGGCTGCCTCACCGACAACGTCTACAGGGGCGACCGCCCCCACCAGGGGGAGCGTGGAGACCAGGGTGGACATTAGGACATCAGACAAGTGCTGCATGATTATCCTGCCTTGATTATTAAATGAATATATGATTCCAAATGATATCACAGACGTTTCTCTTCCACGTTTTAAAATAGCAATTACATAATAAAAAAATGTTGCCAGCATATTACTCTTGTCAATAACTTGATAATTTGATCAAATTGCCGATATTCATAGCAGTTTATAATGCGATTCAAACATTTTCATTATTGAGAAGAATAATGTGTTGAAAAATACATGATGAAAATTAACTAAAATTACGATTTTGCCTTATTCAGTTGTATAATAATATGATTTTTTCTTATAAATGTAAATTTTTAAAATGTAATGTAAATTCTCTATCTTATTTTGCTAATTAATATTTGCTGAATCAAAATATTCACATAAATACCAAACATTCTAAGGAATTATTACAAAGATATTGACTTTTTACATTAATTTGAAGGCCAGAAGAACTGACGAACACAAGCCTCGTGACTTCGGTTGTCGATGTCATCAAGATTTCGTTCATAATTAATTGCATCGTACATGATCATTTTGAATGCATTGTGCATCATCATTGTGACTGCATTGTGCATCATCATTGTGAATGTATCGTGTATCATCATCATGAATGCATCGTGCATCATCATGATTTCTTCGTGCATCATCATTATGAAAGCATTGTGCATCATCATTATGAATTCATCGTGCATGGCTGTGAGGGAAACCTCGCTAAATAATAAATTTCCCGCTAAAAGTGTCACGTTAGGTTAAGCGCGCTGGAAGCTTAGTCCACTGCTTGTCGAGCCCTGATGACGCGCGCAACTCGTACGCTCTTCGTTTTCAGTCAGCGTTGCTTTCCTGTACTGCGGTTTGCACCGGTAAGCTGCGTCATGTGAATTAATACTGGTATTTTTGTAATTGTTGTCGTAGCCATACTATACTGAAATTGTGTCACTTGTGTTTAATTGGTTTAGGTGGGGTGCAATTATGGATGTGAATTAGATGTAAGTTGTTAGCCTCAAGGTCTAACTAAACGGTTTTCGTTTACCAGCTAGTCATTTCGTTAGCCAGTCATTCTTTCTATTCATCTATATTTTGTCAGCACCATAACAGTTTGTTCGTCTTTGACTCCCTAACGCGGCAGCACCTGTAGCCTGATGCTGACTATGTCCCTTTTATTAAAGGTACGCTGGTGGGCCTGCGAGGTTTTTCTGACCAGGTCACCTCCGGAGCCTTTGCATTGTTCTAGTTGTGACTAGAGATTGGCAGCACGACGTGCCTGCTTCTATCGTGAGTTGCTTCGCCACGTCACCTTCAAGGGCCACTTCTACCTCGTGAATCTTAATCTTGCTTTAAGTTGAGTGGGGCACTTACTCGCGCCTCCATACCGTGTGTTGGTGTGCGAGCCCGTGAGAAGCCGACTAGGACTGTAGAATGTTCAGTCTAGACTTCACTATCAACGATGTGATTCAGTCTGGTATTCACCGTCATTATTTATTTCTAATTTACTTGATTGATAGTTTCTTTTAGACACCTTCAGGTGTCTAACCTTAAGCAAGTTAACCGCTCATAAATGTCCTAAACTGTTTATTCTACTTTTAGTTATACTTATTAAAGAAAAATATAAATATTCTTCGTCGCATTGTCCTTCCTTTCAACTACAACCTTAGAGGTTGCCCTGGCATTATAAATGCATTATGCATCATCATTATGAATTCTTCGCGTATGATCATTATGAAAGATATTTCTCCAACTGTGGCTTATATTGCTAAGGCCTTAATACACATGATACTTGTTATGTAGCGAAGATAACATTTGTTTTTTTCAGTGTTGGTTACCGAAGACGGTTGGTGAGCTGGAGTAGATGCCCCAAGGCCCACGGTTGCCTTCAGAAACAATTTCACTTATGGAACTTGTTTTTATAGTTACACTGAAAATGTTTAATTTGCATCCGTATATCATTTGCTTACTGTTCCCCGAGCTGAAAATGCCTCGGTCTTGTGTTTGTTGCATAGAAACAGAGTATGATCAGACATGGAGTTGACAGATGAAGTGGCATGAGAACGAGACTCACTCATATGAGGCAGCACTCACTGCAGCTGACACGCATTATGAGGCAGCACTGACTGCAGCTGAATAAATTACAATGAGGTGTACAATAGTGCAGGAGCATTCATAAATTACAATGAGGTGTACAATAGTAGGAGCAAAAAAAATCCAACCACTAAAATGTTATCATCAATGAAACATTTCGATACTTTTATTAATCTAAGTAATACGTTTATAAAAATTTGTATTTAAATCGACTTAAAAACGGCTTTTTTGCATCCCCGCGCAATGTTGGCATTAATGTAATTTTCTTCAAAATTACATTAATGATGTAACTGAACCTCGAAATGATGATGTAACTAACTTACCTCTAAACTGAACCTATTATGCACGTATTTTTCTAGAACAAAAGCGAGGTTCCATTAGTTAGTTATTCATTGCCATTAGTTAAGGTCATAATGAGTTCCAGCAGAATCAGTGGTTCCAGTATTCCTTAGTATTTGTTTGGGACATAGCAGTCCCAGGCCACGATGGATCGCCGCCTCTGATTATCGTTCATCCGCCCTCGTTTGGGCCACCTGATGCACGATGCTGTTGCTTGCTTCTCGCCGCTGGTAGTGTTGCAGGGGAGGTCGATCTGGGATTGTGCTCAGAACACGTCTAGCTGTCTCTTGAAGGTCTCCAGGGTGAACTCCCCCTCTCTCAGATCCCTTGGTAGGGCATTGAACAGCCTTGGTCCTGCCACGGAGAGTGATCCTTCTCGCAGGGATTGAAATCTGACTGTCTCAAAGTCGAAGTAGTTACTCCAATGCAGTCAAAATAATGAAGAAGTCTACAACCTTCTTTGAAGCAAAATTTATTGATTACACCAGATTCTTGAAGAACTCCCGCTCGTTTGAAGTGACCGTTGCTGCATATTGTTCGGGGTTTGACGTTGTTGTTAAGGTTGTCATGGAGCCAGTTGAGTTGATTGCGGATCTCGAGAAGTTGCTCAATTGTAATGCTCTGAGACCTGGTCTGATTGCGAGCTTGTCTCAGGTGGCAGGATAAACGGCTGCTCAATGTCGTAGTTTTAATATAGGAAAATGCACTAACATCGGTAAATTATTGGAATGCTGTTTCATAACTTATTAATTCATTTGCATCATTATTTACGGTCCCTTTGGCGTTTATTTCGGTGCTTCGGCTGATGCGGCAGCTGGCAAACCCGACATAGCAATTTATGTCGGGCTTGCCAGCTGCCGCATCAGCCGAAGCACCGAAATAAACGCCAAAGTGGCCGTTCTATACACTGCGGTGTGTAAACTATAATTTGAAGATCGTCAAGGGTGACCACTCTTTTTCGACGATTTTATGAAGAAGGGGTATGACATTGGTTGACATACAGATGAAAATTAATACACGTTGATAGTTACAACGTTCATAAACAGCAACAGATATCGCATTAAAAGTATGTACTATCATGTCTCTCGCCTCGTGTCTCCTCTCAACTAACTTCCTTCCAACAAGATTGATTGATTTTGCAGGCAGTACCAGCCTTGGTAAATTTAAAGATTTATGTATAGGAATATCGAAGTCGTTGCTGAAGTTTTAGTGTAACAAACGATATAAAATTTATATAGAATTCACATGAGCAATTAATGCTTGAACAGAAAATATTTAGACATGAAATAAAATCGCAGGACGCAGAAAGAAACTTCAAGAAAATTTTTTCTAACATCGTTACTCAGAAACTTGGAGTCTGTGGGGTTGTCTTTAGATTTATAATGATTGTCTCACGATATATGTGAGAAATTCACACGGCGAACACATGTTGAAAGTCTCTTGGTTATCTCTTTATGTTGCCACGGGATATTGTACTTGTTAAATTTAACTTTCTTGTATGATTATTGCGAATCGTCGTACTGATACTGAAATAAATAATGGACTGCATCAAACGCATCTGCTCATCTGTGCAGTGATTGAGTATTTATAACGGTGTTAAAAAAGTTAGTAAATATTTTTTATGTTGATCGCGATAAAGTATTAACCTGATGGTCCAGAGCGATTGAGATTTTGAGGAAATATATACTTAAATCCCAATACCGCGAATGTTCTGGACATGAAATAATAGTTTGAGTAAATAATGGTAATAAAATTGGCATGGTTCCATCGGCTGCGAGAAATTGGAGGAACGTCGTAGGTGTGGTGATGGTATACGTTTGTAGTTTTATACCTTAGTGATGGTATACCTTAGTGGTGGTATACCTTTGTGGTGGTATACCTATGTGATGGTATACCTTTGTGATAGTATACCTATGTAATGGTATACCTTAGTGATGGTATACCTNATCCTGACTATGTTCTCATCCTGACCATGTTGTCATCCTGACCATGTTGTCATCCTGACCATGTTGTCATCCTGACCATGTTGTCATCCTGACCATGTTGTCATCCTGACCATGTTGGGTCATCCTGACCATGTTGTCATCCTAATCATGTTGTCATCCTGACCATGTTGTCATCCTGACCATGTTGGGTCATCCTGACCATGTTGTCATCCCGGCCATGTTGTGTCATCCTGACCATGTTGGTCACCCTAACCAGTTCGGGTCGGTAAAGGGCGTGTCAGTGCTCCGTGCAGGTCGTGCGTCACTTTGCATACACTCTATATTACCCATTCATTTTTTCATGAGTATACTGGTTGGAACAAATGTAGACTTCGGTTATAGGTTTAAGAACGTCGCGATTTGAATAATGTCAATAATGTCTAGCCTTAACTTCTTTGTCTCTTGTGCAGGAGGGCTAGTTATCTGTGCACCTCTGTTAAAAGTGTCTCCTTTTCGGTTGCTCTTCATCTTTTTTCTTACTCACTGTGGGAAGATATTGACTTATTATATCGATAGTGAGGACCGCTCAGGAAATGCGATCTAATGATGACAAGCCATAAAAGCTTATGTAAATTTTCTAGCTTACACTAGGTATTATTTTTTATTTTATTCAATGAATATATCGCTATATTAATATTATTTGTATTATATCCTGTTCA